GTTTCCCTGGAAAATCACTATCCTTTCAGCGTCTGGGCTCTGAAAAGTGCACGGGGAACGGGCTGCTCTGCTGGATATTTTGGGCCAGATCTATACCAGGGGAAATAATCAGAGTAATTTGAATGAGCTTTTTTTAAGTCCACTAGGCACTGTGGTGAGTCCGTGCGTCATCAGAGACGTCACTTGCTTCCAGGAGATGGCCCTCTAAGGCTCCCATCATACCAGCACATCTCAAGCCCGTCAGCCACGAGGCCAAAGCAGCAGCTTAAAGGAGCCATTGGATGTATCAGATAAATTTAGAAGGAGCCCATCGCTTCTACCATTAGGTCTAAATGCCCCAAAGAAGGAAAAGAGGCAGAAGAGAGCATGGATAGGAGCGGGGAAACTCTGGGGCCCCCACGGCAAGGTGCGGTAGCTACAGAGATTGGTCTTTGTGCAGGTCGCTTTTCCTTGTCATGACAAACTATCTGAACACGTTGACTTAAAAGAAGTGAACACGGTTTATTTTGGCTCAGTCTCAGTAAGCCCAGCCCATGGTCACTCAGCTCCATTGCTTCTGGGCTTCGGTGAGGGGGAAGATGCTGGTGGGAACCATGAGGTGGAGCTTGACCTCATAGTGTGCAGTGAGGAGTGGCAGGGAGGGAAGGAAGGCGGGAAGGTGCTGTGGGATGGTCTGTGTGTCAAATTGCTCTGATTGGTCAAGAAATAAAACACAATTGGCCAGTGGCCAGGCAGGAAATACAGGCGGGACTAATAGAGAGGAGAACTGAGAGAACAGGAAGGCAAAGGGAGACACTGCCAGCCGCCGTCATGACAAGCTGCATGTGAAGACGCTGGTAAGCCACGAACCACGTGGCAAGGTATAGATTTGTGGAAATGGATTAATTTAAGCTATAAGAACAGTTAGCAAGAAGCCTGCCACGGCCATACATTTTGTAAGCAATATAAGTCTCTGTGTTTACTTGGTTGGATCTGAGCAGCTGCGGGACTGGCGGGTGACAAAGATTTGTCCTGACTGTGGGCCAGGCAGGAAAACTCTAGCTACAGGAAGGAGGGGGGAAGTCAATCCCAGGATAAAGCTATTCACCAGTGATTTACTTCTTCAGCTAGGTCTCGGCTCTTAATAGCCCACACAGCTGTGAATTCACAACAAATGAATCCACCAATGGGGTTAGTGTCTCACAATCCAATGATGTCACCACCTAGGGACCAGACCTTGAGAACATGAGCCCAAGGCTGTAGAGAGAGCTCAGTTGTTGAGAGGGCTTGTTCCTCTCACAGAGGACCAGAGCTTAGTCCCCAACACCTATAACTCCAGCTCTGGGAGACCCAGCACCCTCATCTGGCCTCTGCAGGCACTCACACTCACAAGTACACATCCCATACACATAAATAATAAAATAATTTTAAAAAATACAAACCCCTTGAGGGGGATACTTTAAATCTACATTTTAACAATTATGTACCCTGCATTTCAAAAGGGTAGAAGGTTTTTTAGAAGTTTTCATCATAAGGAAATGACAAATGTGAGTGTGTATATACATATATATACGTAGTTGGACTTGAACATTATGTAATGTTTATGTGTGTTGAACATGACTTGGAACTCCACTAATGTGAAGTTTTTATGATTTTTTTTTGTGAATTGAAGTGAAAAGAAAAATATCATTTTTTCTAAATTATAGAACCAACCTAGGCATCCAACAAAAGGGGAATTGGTAAAGAAAATATGGTATGTATCATGCATACACTGTAGAATTTCAGCCACAAAGAACAAAAGTTTGGCATTTATGAGAACAGTGGATACAACTGCAGCTAATCCTGCTACATGAGTTAAGCCAGACTCAGAAAGACAAATACTGTGTCTTTTTTCTTGTTTGTGGTCCTAGGTTTTATATAGTCACATAAAATCAGGTGTGTGAATATGAAAGTGCAAATGAAACTGCCTGGGGGACAAAGGAGACCATTGGGAGCAGAGGGGGCAGAGATCAGAGGGCAGGGGTCATTGGGGGGAATATCTTGATGTTCAATATGAAAATGACAATATTAGTTAAGTAAATTTTTTAGCAAAAAAGAGATTTTTTATTTTATTTTTTCAGATTTTATTTATTTTATGTATGTGTGTATTTTGTGAGTGAGTGTGTGCATGTGTGTCATGTCCATTCTTGGTACCCTTAGGGGTTAGAAGAGGGTATTGGATTCCCTGGAGCTGGACTCAGGCATGACTGTGAACCACTGTGTGGTTGCTCAAAACGGAACCCAGGCCTTCTGCAGGAGCAACAACTGCTTTTGACCACTGAGCCATGTCCCCAGCCCCCGAAAACAGACTCTGCTGTTCTCAGTTCTTCTCTGCTGGTGTCTATCAGAGAGCTGTAAGCAAAGGGCAATGGCGGTGCCTGATGCTAGCTGGCCCTTTAAGAAATGATCGTGCGAACATGTTGGAATAAGAAGAGAATGGGAATCTTAGGTGTTGGGCTCTAATTATAAATCTATTCTATCTACTCAGGTGATTTTGAAGATACCACCTCCCTGTTCTTGTCCTTGGTTTCTCTGTTTGATTAGTCTAGATTAGTTTGGCAAGGTAAGCTCTTTTTTTTTTTTTTTTAAAGTATCTGAAATCTGACCATCTTGCATGTTTAATCCTAATGCTAGTGAGCAGAGGATGTTTGCTGCCTCTCCACACCCAAACCCACCAGGGAAACAATCATTTTACTGCCCCACATAATTTCCACCCAAGTGGGCATTTCTTAGAGCCCTCTACACAAACTAGACTGTAGACTTACGTTTGTGTTCCTCACTCCAAATTCATATCCTGAAATCCCAACCCTGACTTAAGGGGAGTAAGAGATAGGGACTTTGGGATGTGTCTGGTTCATGAGGTTCATGAGTGTTTGGTTCATGAGTGTGTAGAAGGGGGGCCCACTGGGAGGGATGTGAACCCCAGAAGCTTCCCGCACTCAGGACCAGATTAGAATCTTCTAGGTTCAGGCTACTGATGAACCCAGAAGGAAAAGATTCTGTTTGTAGTCAGGAGCCTCTCTCTCTCCTCTCTCTCCATCTATCCACTCACCTGCTTATATGTCCATCTACCTACCTATATAACAATCTGCCCATCCATCCATCCATCCATCCATCCATCCATCCATCCATCCATCCATCCATCCATCCATCCAACCATCCATCCACCCACCCACCCACCCACCCACCCATCCATCCATCCATCCATCCATCCATCCATCCATCCATCCATCCATCCA